AAAACTAAACAAAAAAGGGGATACAAATGAAGGACCATTTTGTATCTGTATATACAAAATAGTTAGGACAGATATACAGCTACTTTCTCTTAATTCAATGAATAGAAATATTTAATAGTGTTTGTGGACAGGATATAATGTTTACATCTTGTACTATGCATAACCACTAAGAAGACAACAATATACAATGTGTTAAGTATTGAAACTATCCTGCTAATCGGTTTTGAAACTGTCTCATTGCTATTTGTTTCTCAATAAAATTATTAAAATAAATGAATAAAATCACCTTCTCACTGTGAAGAAGCAGATGATTCAATATATTGGCTTATTACTTGTCTCTTAGGTTGAAAATATTGTAGATTGATCCTAAGTAGACTGACCCAAAGAGGAAAGTCGCATACCTAGGATCAGAGGTGCCATGCTCACTGTCTTAGGAAGCCTGAAATGTCAGTGATGACTTAATTGGACTGCACATAGTCAGGTGCAAAAGGTGAAACGTTTCAACCCTTTTCACCAGCTCCTAAAACAACAGCTTCTCAAACCACAGTTCCTTGCTCTACTCTGATATTAGAAGTGCATAGACTCTCTCCCTTACTCTACAGCAACTAACTCAGAGACTCTCGGGATAGGGCCAAGCAATATGTTTTAAGATTCTGAGACATGCTGATGTTTAAGAATCTTTGTTCAGACTATAAACACATCCCTATTTTTTAGACATGCTTAGTCATTTGGCCTCACACATAGCAATAGTTAAGGATCTTGCTATATTATTGACTCTTGGCAAATATAGGCAGAAGAACATTGTGTTATCTCAAGACTGGTAGATTCACAGCTGGAGACTGTGCTTCATACTGAAGGACAAGTGCCTGAGATCCACTTAACTCATCTCTGAGTGACAAGAGAAGGCATCCTACAGGGGACAACGTGCAAGATGATATTAAAAGGCAAGCAGCAGTTAACAACTAAGAATCAAGCGAAGTCAGTCTAGAAGCAGGGAACTGTAAGAACAACACATTATAGCTAAAAGTTTTTCTCCTGTTTAGAAGCTTAAAGAACTTACTCTGAGATCTTTATCCCACATCCAGCACAATTATAAACACTAATGTTTGCCAAATATTTTAGTGAATAAATAATTCCCAATAGAATTATTAGCCTATATTAGCCAAAGGATATGCTGTCATTCAAAAAACTAAGGGATTGAAAGATTGCATTGGAGAGTATTTAGCAGTGGTCTCAACCCCTTTATTCTTTATCTAATCAAATTTAAAAAATAAGTTAACTCACACTTCCAAATCAGATACTTAATTTCTATACAGTTTATATGCATACTACTAAATAATATTTTAATGCTTGTAGAAAAATTAAAGTTATTTAAAATGTGGAGATATCATGGAAGACAAATCAACAATTGTTCTAATGCTTTTTGCCAGTCCAGTATCTGGTTTGGCGTAGTAGGGTAATCTGAGGAATCCTGCCAGTTGTCAAACATGGGAGGACTGGACTGGCTCTCTGTGCCAAACCTGTTAGCAGTGCCTGACCATGGTCAAAAAAGACAATAGTGTTAAGAATGCTCTGAGTCATGATTCACCCTCCAGAAAGATCATTCTGATCTTGCAAATCACATTTGCAATCTGCCTGCTATGAGCAAAGAGAAAGTAATGAACAGTATGTATTCACC